TCTAACGTGTCTGATAATGCGTCCACGCGTGATAGGGTATCAGCCACGATATTCTGTTTACCAGGAACGTACCTAATATCCGTGGTGAATTGTGAAATAAAGTCCAAGTGTCTGAATTGTCGTGGTGTGCACTTATCCGATTTCTGTTGAAATGCGAAAGTGATAGGTTTGTGATCGGTGTATATAACAAACTCGCGTCCTTCCACCATATGCCGAAAATGTTTGACAGCGAGATAGATCGCAAGAAGTTCTCGATCGTAAGCTCCGTATTTTGTCTCAGTCGCCGTGAGTTTCTTGGAAAAGAAGGCGAGGGGTTGCCACTCGTCATTGATGAACTGTTGGAGAGTTGCGCCAACCGCTGTGTTTGAAGCGTCGCTTACAATAGCCAGTCGAGCGTTGTCACATGGGTGCGCGAGAAGCGTGGCTGTGGCGAGTTCCTCCTTGCATTTCTCGAACGCTGAAATTGCTTCTGGTGTCCAATTAATAGGTGCTTTACCTTTTAGATTAGGTACTAAGAGATCACTTAGTGGTGATTGTGCATCTGAAGCTCTAGGTATAAAACGACGATAGAAGTTTAACATACCTAAGAACTGTCGTAGACCCTTAGCTGACGTTGGCCTCTTGTAGCTCAATATGTCAGCGACTCTATCAGGTAGAGGACGTGTTCCTTCTTTAGAAATCATGTAGCCCAAAAACTTTACTTCTGGTTGTCCAAAAACGCATTTTTTAGGATTGAGAACCAGAGAGTATTCGCGTAGTCGCTCAAAAATGATCTGTAAATGTTTGATGTGTTCTTCTTCAGAAACAGATGCCACGAGTATGTCGTCAATGTAACTGAAACAAAAATCAAGTCCACGGAGTACTTCGTCAATAAATCGTTGGAACGATTGTGCTGCGTTTCGAAGTCCAAAAGACATAAAGAGGAATTCGTAAAGTCCAAATGGTGTCACAATTGCAGTTTTAGGGACGTCTTCTTCAGCTACAGGGATTTGATTATACGCTCGAACCAAGTCGATAGTTGAAAAAATCGTTTTACCGTGGAGAAAGTGCGCGAAGTCCTGTATATGACGAACAGGGTACCGATCTGGGATAGTCCGGGCATTTAGAGCGCGGTAATCCCCACAAGGACGCCATGCATCTGTTTTGTTCTTTGGTACTAGATGTAATGGTGATGACCAAGGTCCTTGGGATGGTCGGATAATGCCTAGTTGGATCATAGCTTCAAACTCTTTTTTTGCTGCCTTAAGCTTATCAGGTGCTAAGCGTCGTGGTTTACAAGATACCGGGGGTCCTTGTGTCGTCGGGATAAAGTGTTTAGTGCTGTGTTTGATATCCTTCAGGGTCCCAAACGGTCGAGTGATCTCTGGAAATTCCCGTAGTAAACCGTCGTATTTCGTCTCTCCCACGACGACCTTAATAGATGGTATTGAGCACTTGACGGCGTGACCACGAGTGGTGAGTTGTGTAAGTCCGTCTAATAGACATTGATTGCGCACGTCTACCAAAAGATTGTAAAAACTTAAAAAGTCAACACCAATGATGGGCTTGGATACTTCCGCAATCACAAATCTCCAAGTGAAATCTCGACGAAGTCCGAAGTTTAGGCTGAGCGTGATAGTGCCGTAGGTGTTTATAGGCGTGCCATTGGCGGCTGATAGGACGTAATCGGTTTTTACGCGGTGGCCTGGAACAGCACTACGTGGATAAACACACAAGTCGGCGCCCGTATCGATGAGAAATTGAGTTTGGGAAGTTCGGTCTGTGATGAAAAGACGGCGTGGAAACTGACCGGGCTCACTGGCCGTCATCAGTGATGACCCGTCCCGTTTCCCGATTTATAGTTACAAGGTTCCTTGCATTTTTTCGATTGGGATCCATAACGCCAATGATACCAGCATATTCCGTCTGCGCCATGATGAGTGCGGCTTCGAGATCGTGACCTTGGACGGTAAGTATTTGGTCTTGAGTCCGGAGTACGCGAGGGGCGAGTATTTAACGCAGCCACTTCACTTCTCAACGCTGCAATCTCCTGATTAATATTTAGACTAAGTTGAGAAATCTTAAGATTCAACATGGCTTCAAAAGTGTCACTTCTCGACATTTCTGCTATTTGTGGTAGTAAAGGACCCGATGCGTCTGCGATGTTGTCCGCATGGACAGCGAGATCTTCAAGCTTACTATCTTTCACTATTGCCAACGCTACCTGTATACTTTTCGGTAAACGGCCCATCCAAAGTGTCTTCAATAACGTTTCCGGAACAGAAGAGTCGGCCAGACTTTGGAGATGGCGTAAAAATTGTGATGGTTTACGGTCTCCAATCTCAACGCGTTCTAAAAGTTGGCGTGTTTTCTCCTCTTGGGAGGCACTAAGACGTCTTATCAACTCTTGTTTAATTTTGGCGTACTTACTGTCTGAGGGCGGCGTCATAATTATGTCCTTGACTTCCACTGCGTATTTTGGCGGTAATGCTCCAACTACATACCCGAATTTTGTACTGTCAACAGTGACTCCCGCGCTGGCGAAACTTCCTTCGACCATAGCAAACCAAAGTTCGGGATCTGACGAAATGAAATCCGGTATCTTGACGGCTACTCGAGCAATTGTTTCGTCTGTCTGCGCCATCACGTCGAGGTCACCAATTTGTGGGTTATATCTTACAACACACAATTATTTAAATGGCGGTAGACTTTTATTAAACAAAATTATAACACTAAAATAGACGTATAAACACTAAAAGAAAATATATGTATATACAGTAAGGAAAAATAAAATAATCGAAGTAAACATAATACACGATGACAACAGCGGCGGGGTGTAGCGGTCGTGTAGCGTATCGCGGACTAGACAGTCTGAACTGAACTAACTGAACTGACTGATTCTTCCGATATATATATAGCTCCGATAAGGCTCTCGCTAATTCTAGAATATTCTATACCCGCGTAGGTTATCTTATGGCGTTATCGAAGTTTCTCGAAGGTTTTTGATAACGAGAACATTCGAGAATATTCGTTGCGTATGTTTTGGTCGCTACATCATAATTTATTTAGTCTTCGAATTAAAAAAATAAAACTTATGTCTTTCAACTAAAATGGACTGTAAAATACTACATAATTATATTTAAAAATATTATATAATAATGCTTAATTCTATCTATCCATTTAATAAATAATTACAATGATTTGTAGTTTATTTGATATTTATATATACCACTTTTTTTTTTGTATGATTTAGGGTTATTCAACTTATCATGTATGAATGTAAAATTATTATTGTCAAATATTAAATCAAAATGATCCCTTGAGTTAATGATTTTTTAAAATTATTTTCCGAACTATTTCCTCAAATATAGAATTACAATGTATTTAATCTATTCATCAAATAACTTAGTGCTAAACCATCTAGACTTGCTAAATGCATACCTGGCTGCTCTTGGATTTTCTGCGTGTCAGAAGTTAGATATTGTTTTTACTTTGAAAACAATATATGGTAGGAGCAATTTACCATCAGTAGTAAGGCAGTACAGTAATTTGCTGGTACTTGTAAACATAATTGAATTGGGTGTTTTACAACTATTCTGGATATTTAATACCGCATATAGTAATAATTTTGAGATCGCTAGGATTATCTCTCAAATTAATTTCATCATAGTTTAAAATATTTGACAGTGGTACACCATTAAGTGTAACTGGAGGACTTATCAAGTATGTATTAAGTGTATTCTTTAGGTACTTACTCACGAACGTTTAGTATTTTGTTATATTTGTACGGTTAAAATATCTTAGTGCCTCTTAAGAGAATTGTTAAGGCCTATTATATATATGTAGACGATTTTTGAACAACACTTTGACCATCAATAGTTAGTTGGTGATGAGCGATAGCACCGCTAATATGACAGCATTTCAATTATTTAATAATTAAAGTAAAAAATTTAATTATGGTTGTGTTATATTTATTAATAATTTAAGAAACCTATAAAATCCATTAGACCAGCAAAATAAAAAGTAAATACAGTTCACTACAAGAACTATCTGCTCAGTTACGTTTTAGCATGGTCTCGTTTTTAAATCTTTTAACTTTTTTATCATGGTATTCAAGATATCCTTTATAAAGGATATCATTTGACATATATGATATTAGATTACTTGCTATAACAAGTAATCATATCTGTCAAATGAATAACCTTACTCTATGCATAGCAAAATACCTAAAAAAATCAATTTTTCTTCTTCCTTTAATGTAGTGAAATTTGGTCTACTTGTATTTTGATGTACTGATTTTTAACATGTCTCTACATAACTGAGTAATTGATACCATAAAGTAATTCAGATTATCCGTGAGAGATCTCTTTTCGTTTAACAAGATAAACAGTATTAGTTCAATCAGTTTAATTTGTTTCTTTTATAACGCTTGCCGCGTGGATCTGGGTTAGGTATTATTAATATTTTTATTATTTTTTATGTTTATGTTTACCATCTTGTTTAAATGTTAATGTAAGTGTCAGAGAGGAAAAGAAAACTTACAAATCTAAGCATAACAGAACCAAACCCCGATGCCTTCGCACCTAGCCATAATGCGTTACGGATTGAGATAGGTATGCCACAAATTAGTTACCCATATACTCGAGAAGTCGTAAAATTTTTTATTTTTGAAATGATTATACTCCTTCTATGATATACGCGATAACAAAGTCGAGTAAAATTTATGGTGGTAGAATTATTGAAGAATTTATCAGCAGTTTTATCAAAAAACAAGGATAAATCAGTCAAAATTGGTTCTTAATATACAACCAATTGATTACAATAAAAATGTATCATTATAATTGAGCTTTTATTGTATTATTCAAAAACATTTATTTCTGAATATTGTTTTTATTGGCCTATTTGCATCAACTTACCCACTTTTATGGTATACTTAACTTTGCATAAAAAAAATGTTTTTATCTTAATATTTTTGCACCTAAAATTATTTATTTTACAAATACTTTTTATTTGTTTTGCAGATTCAAAATGGTGAATAGTACAGCAGTAGGTTGTATATCTGACCACGAATCATTGTCCAGACCAGTCATGTTGACTATAATCACGGCTGCTGGCGCAGCAATCATAGTCACAATCTTTGGTAACATTTTAGTGATAATGAGCGTTGTTCAATATCCACCCTTGCGATCTGTTCCCAATATATTTATTGTATCATTAGCTGTAGCTGATTTAATGGTAGCTATTGGCGTGCTACCGCTAAACGTAGTGTATAATATTACTGGAGTATGGCATTTTGGTGGTGTTGTTTGTAAACTATGGCTAACGTGTGACGTACTATGCTGCACAGCATCTATTCTCAATTTGTGCGCAATTGCTTTGGATCGTTACCGAGCTATAACTCAGCCTATTGCATACGCTCAAAAGCGAACAGTGTCTCGCGTATTATGGACAGTGGCCATTGTATGGCTAGCAAGTGCTGTTATAAGTTCACCGCCGTTAATTGGTTGGAACGACTGGCCAGAAGCATTCGATGAACAAACGCCATGTGCGTTAACCACTCACCCTGGATATGTAGTATACTCTTCTATGGGTTCTTTCTACATTCCACTAGTTGTGATGAGCATAACATATCTAAGAATTTATATAGCTACGCGACGTAGACTGCGGAGAAGAGCTCGCGTAGCATTACCTCAAAATAACCAACAAAAAATCCAGGCTGATTGTGGTAGTGGATCAGTAAAACATCACAAAGAAAAGACCAAACGTACTGAAATAGCTACTGGTGATTCAGCTAGTAGTAGTGATGAAGTGGATGTTGCAACAGCTATTTCCGTTAAAACCGCTCAACTACCAAAGAGTGGTAAACATGTCAACCAGCTGTTAGAACATAAGAAGCGCATATCGTTATCTAAGGAGCGAAAAGCTGCCAAAACTCTTGGAGTCATTATGGGTGTGTTCGTCGTTAGTTGGTTACCGTTCTTTATCATCTACCTTTACTTCCCGTTTTGTAAAATATGCTGCCCTCCATCTAAAGTTCTCGTCAATGTAGTTACGTGGCTGGGGTATCTAAATTCTACAGTCAATCCAATAATCTATACCAGATGTAATATGGACTTCCGGAGGTCATTTAAAAAAATTTTACACATGGATTATCGTTAAAAATAACGAAAATAGCGAATAAAATCATAAGTAATAAATGGAGATGTAAAAATTCTAGTTAATAAAAAGTAAAATTTTTACTTTGAAGATTTAAGATCTATTGTTATCGAGTAAAATTATGTTAATATCAAATGCAGAGTTTTGGGTAGACGTTTAAGTTGTATTATGAATCGAGATTGGATATTACAAGAATGTGTTATAAGATTGGTTGACAATTATTATTTATCAAGTTCCAATAGGATAAAACAATTTATCAGAAAAATACCTCTCTTTTACATATTTAATGAATATGTAGATATAAATATTTTTTTTATTTTAGAAAAACAATTTATACAAGCACATATACAATAAGTTTTTTTTCTAAAGTATCTTAAAAGGCAATTAAGGAAGCCACTCTTTGGTAACACCTTCATAAGTAAAGTTGAGATATATTAATAGATTTCTATTCCAGTTACGTTTTAAAAGGTTGTTTGAAATAATAGTCCTGTACATATGTTATATTGAAAGATTTAAATTTAAGTTAAGTTTGGTGTGAAATCTAAAGTAGTGTAATTTTGCAAGTTTGTTAACAATGTCTATTTATAAATCTTTATATAAATTATTATTAATAATGTACCAAGGAGTATTTGCGAGCATTCGAAGTGATAAATTTTAAAACGGCTATGCAGATCTTATTGTTGAAGATTTAACTAATCCTCATAAGCCCACATTCGAATTATTCACTTATATGAGTAGTTTAGTCCTGAGTAGCAGGTTATACTTGAGCAGAGGAAGAAAAGGACACAATCTAATGTTTACCTTTTTCTTTTTTTCCTTGTGGTTGGTTAGGCACCCAGGTTAGTCATTTATCTAGAATTAAACCTAAGTATTTTGTTTATTTTTGAATAGATATAATGAAGTTGTTAAAATTTACAAGCAGGCATATAAATATAGTTTAGTAGTAAACCATCAATGATTTTTTACTCGTACTATAAATAACAACAAGGTGTATGATAAAATTATATAAATGTATACTCCATTTTTCATAAAACTTTTTACGATTTTACCTTCTGTTTAATTTTAGTAATATTAATTTCTATAAAGTTGATCAACTTAAAACCTAATTTATATTAGGTTATTATATTCAGTCTTATTTTAATATACAATTAAGGTCCTTAGATTATTTAAAAGTTGTACATAATGTTTACTAATGAAAGTAAGAAAAAGTCATACAAAAACATAAATTTTATTTTTGACAGTGTTTCAAATGATATGATTCGCTTAAAAACATGGTTAGAATTGACTTTAGGTTCTGCGATAACATAAATAAGATGAGAAAATCCAGATGATCAGTAAGCCCAAACTAACGATCATGTACTTCAACGAAAATGTATCAAATGTTACGTAATATATTTTTAAGGATTTTGTATTCAATTTTATTTGTTTACTTTTGAATATAGTAAACCGTTCTAGTGTAAACTTTACTATTAATCGAAATTGCTTTTCAACACATGTGGTACTTGTGACATTAAGTTGTAAGTATTTTTGATTGGTAAATGATTTTGTTTTATCGGCACATGACAGAAAAGACAATGCAACGTCAAAAAAACGTGATAACTACAATATTTCAATAGGATAAATAGCATACATATTTTTTTATATTTATATATTGTGGTCTGAGTATTCTATAACTGAAATAGACATTGTACATAATATGTACTATTTATATAATTTTATTATTATTCCCATATAATAAAATTCCCAGGCAACAATTTTAAAAAGTATTGTTATAAAAACATTTTTATAACATTATATGTTATAATAACATTACAAAAACATGTTATTAGGCTTATTATTGTTACAATGAATAAGAGCTACAGGGGGTGAATGGTAATAATATGGGAACAACAACATTTACCCTTTACACTATCATGTGTAAAACAAATGTAGTCAAGAAACAAACATTCATATACACTCATTTATACTCACTCGCTTAAATTGTTATAAAACCAACTCGATATTCACTATATAATTGAATAAGAATAAATTAATCAAAAACCATGAAAAACTATTTGAAAGATGTATTGTAAGTGAATACACTGTAATATAAAAATAAATTCCTTTAAGTTAATATTTTTAGCACAAACAATTATTTATGTTTGAAAATTAATGATAAAAAATATATGTGATAGAATTATAAATATAACAAATTTTGTAAGAATACAATTGAAGATATTACAAGAGCATTAAAATTTTAAATCATTCATGAACTTTGTATCTGACAGTATATTATAAAAATTGAGTCGTTTATATCTTCTTTTTTTTCCTCGTCTTAATCTCAATCACTTGGGGTTGACCACCCTTATCCTAAACGTCCACTTGACAAGATATCCAACATCCTTAACGCTCACATCAGCTTTCCTAATATCGCATTCAATAACATCCCTCTATCTCTTTTTTGGTCTTTTTCTACCTCTTCTTCCTTCAACATTCATTTCTATAATTGTTCTTACATTCTCATCCCCTCATAACATGACCAAACCATCTAAGTCTTTTTTCTCTCATCTTATCCACGATTGACGCTACACCTATACTTCCTTTTATATGTTCTTATTCTATCATTTTTAGTCACTTCACTCATCCATCTAAGCATTCTTATCTCTGCTACACTCATTATTTACTCTACTTTCTTATCAACTGCCCAAAACTCTGAACCATGCATCATAGCTCGTCTCACTAAAGTCTTGTAGAATTTACCTTTCAGCCTCATTGGAATTCTTTTATCGCATAAGACTCCAGAAGCTTCTCTCCACTTCAACAACCCGCACTTAATCCTGTGTATTACATTGTCTTTAATACCATCGCTCTTTTGCACAACTGACCCTAAATACTTAAAACTTTCTACCTCTCCATTCACGTCCTCTCCTATTGTCACTGATCTCCTCATTTCACCTACCATATGTTCTCTTTTGTCAAACATGTACTCTATATATTCTGTCTTGCTTTTACTTATTCTTAAACCCTTTTCTTCAAGAGCTGATCTCCACACCTCTAGCCTTTGATTAATTTCCTTCCTATTTTCTTCTATTAACACTACATCGTCAGCAAACAACATCATTTCATCTATCACTATAGAGAATAAGTAAGGGCTTAAAACAGAACCTTGGTGCACTCCTACTCTTACACAAAAACTACTGTTACTCTTCCTACGCTTTTTACCCTGATACAAGTGCCATCATACTCATCTTCTATTATATTAGCGTACCTTTTCGGGACTTCTTTTTTCATTAATGCCCACTGTAAAACCTCTCTCGGTGTATGCTTAACTATTAAAAATACATTATTCATAAACGTTTGTTAGTTAATTGTCAAATTAATTCAATCTCGTATAATTACGTATGTATACGTTCAGTTAAATGTTTAAATATAGCAATAGTTTATTATTCCAAATAATTTGTGTCTTAAATAATAACCAATTTTACTTTTGTAAAAATTTGATACAAATCAACCACTTTTTTTTTTAAATATACCTGTTAAAATATTGACAAATTTTTGTTAAATATTTTATTTTGTTTCAATGTTTATAATTTATACGCTCAACGTTATTTATTTGTTCAGATAAAAATATATTGTATATAAATGTATAATTAATTGGTATGCCTATCTGTATTGATCATAATAATGCTTCATATCTTACATAGAGCTAAAATAATTCCTTACTTTTGTATCTAGTATTACTAGTTAAGTTAAATTTTCGTTATAAATAAAGATTTATCTTATTTATTGTTATTTAGATAAACATTTTTTTGGCTATATTGAAAGAATAGGGAATTGATTAAAAACTTTTACTTATTAACAAATGCCATCCTAATCAGAAATCCACTATAATCACATTTCTGACGTTTAAAATGATACTCTATTCTTCTCGAAAGATTTTTATCATAGTATAATTTGAATATTATTATTTATTCATTTTTTGTAATACAATGTAAAGAAAATAGTATATTGTTAATAATTTATTCAGCAATTATTTAAAAAAAATGTTTTAGATAATTTTTTGTATAGTGTCTTGTTTTTGTTTTTTAATTATTTTTTAGTGTTAAATATTAGACTTTTCATTGTGTAAAATGAAAATTAAAAGTGTATCAATGTTTTAAATTTGTATAAAATATGTATATACGTGTTTATTTACATTAAATATGTTGTTTATTTTTAACAAACAATACTAGTACTTATAAGTAATTAAAGATACATAATCATAAAATGGCATAAGTGGAATGTTTTAAAATTATTTTGAATAAATGCTCAACTTTCTTTAATCGCCCAACAAAAACAATAAAAAATAATGATAAGAAACCTAAACTTTATAAATGATAATGGTAAAAACAATACTACAACTATTTTATTGTGAAGTATTGTAATTAATTGACAAACATATTGATTATTATATAAATAAATATACGTTAGTAAATAATGTGGACATTTTTTAAAGTTGAAATGGTACTTTATTATTTATTATGATGGTATTTTTCATTTTTATAGAATTATTTCTTTTAATACTAATAAAATGAATAAATATAAGAATTAGTAACATCTATAAATTTAAATCATATATTTTATGATTTATTACAAACAAATTCTTTCGTATTATTATATGAAAGTTGTTTATTTTTAACTTTTGATAATTTATATACATTAAATGTGATATTTTACAATTCCATTTGCATATAACTAAAATTACTCCACTTAATATCATCTCTTATATTTCACTAAACATTTGTTAGGTACAATAATAATGTGTAGTAAGTGTAAGTTAGTAGTAAAGTGTGTGTGTGTATGTTATGATAAACAATACAGCTGACCCGTAAGTTTTGTTAAGTTAAAAAAGACTATACAAATTGAAATAAAGTTGTTTTTGTCAATATTTTTCGTCAATCATCTACATCGTGTACTTAATTTCGGAAAACCAATATTTTGATAGCAATTTATCAAAACCACTTGACTGTTGTTTGTAATAACCATAACAGTTCATACAGCTGAATACTCTCCCTGATCTAAAGGTCGTAATCATGATTTATATTATTGTGTTGATTGTTTTGTATTTATAGTTTGTTAGGGTTGTGTGTACCAATACATAGTTAAGGAAAATATATTTTTACTGCATCAAAAAGCAATATTTTTTTATGATCCTTATATGGATATTGAAGAATAGACTCTCGAATGTACCATAGAAGTTTTTTAAGGTAAGCTATATGGTTTTAACAGTAGTTTATTGCATCATGTATCAACTACAATGTAAAACTTAAGACAATTTAACTGGAAACAATGCAAAGAAACTTTATATCTCTTTGTATTGTGCATAATGGTGTCATGCATTTTACTTTATTCTTAACTTAATGTAGTTAATGCAACACTAGTTATCTATGATGTTTAAAAATAAAAGTAATAAATAAACACAATAACATCTGAAAAATAAAACCGTGTTAGTACTAAATATGGCTCCAGTTCAGAATTTAGAATAGTGTTAAGCTCAATGCTTTGTATAATAAATTAATTTTTAATTAGTTTAAACTAAATTTAAATTCAATTTTTTTCTCATTGAAGATAAATAATAAAATATGATTTTAATGTAATGTAGTCCAGAACTGTAAAAATTATTCAAAATAAAAAAATGCAAAATATTTACTGGTCAAGAGTTATTAAATATGTCAAAATTTCAAAGGCTCTGAAATTCCCTTCATTAGATGGCGATTTTTTTTAAATTTTCATGTTGACATGAAAAGTAAATCAGTTTTAAATTGTAAAAGAGTCGAAAAATAATTCAATATCATAATTTGAGATTATATCTATTCGAAGGCATTATCCTCAAAAATTGAATAAAATTTTCTCATTCCCCGTAAATGTTGAAAATCCCCCAAAAATTACAATTTTAAAAATCGGTAATTTTTGTCATTTATTTAAATTTTTTTCTTAAAACTGCCATATCTTTTTAAAAAATGAACAAATTAACATAATTTTTTTTTATTGGTACCTTAGATATTTGCCTATCATTTGATATATGTTTGTGAAAATTTGACCCTTTACATGCCCACGTTTACCAAAATTCCAAAATGGCAACTTTTTCAACTTAACTTTTAAAAATGTTTTTAAAAGACTGACACTTTTATACATACTTTACAGTTTTTTCGCATTGTTCATTAGTTGATTTATGTTCATTAAATTCATCATATAATAGATAAAATATTAAAATGCAGAATTTTCAGATGTAATTACCTTACAATTACGAGTAGTGCTAGATATATTTTCAGCTTTAAAAAAAAAAAACTAAATGGATGTTAATTAACTAGTTCAAGAGCAAATTTATCGCTGAAATTTATATTTAAAAACTCATATTGTTCTTAAATAACAATTACAACACGTCACGTTCATATAAACATGATTTACTTTTATTCTATGGCCACCTTATATGATTTTTGGTTTTATTAAATTGTATAACAGATTAATATAAAATCGGGGGCATCGTAATTCACAAATGCATAGCAATTAAAGATACTGCGGAATTGCATTGTAAATGAGTTAGAATTATTCTAAGCTAGTATTATACGGCAATATATAGGTTTATTTAGTTTTGTTCATATAGCTTCTGTAAATGAGACCGAGCACTGTCTTCTCTAATTACATACACGTATAATTACCGTTTTGTATAGCAAAAGAATAGTAATACTATTTAATATTTTATAAAACATAAGTAACTTCACACTGGATTATAATTTATTGCATTTCAAATTTAATTTTACTTGAGTCTATTTTTAGATTTCATAGTGACCCACTACCGACCTTGTCCTTGACGCTACACCACGTTGCTTCCATCAACCGTCTAGCTATTAATACAACCGGTGGTTTGAATATGCATCGGCCGACTCAATGAGTGCAAAGTCCATCAAGTCTCGGGCGGTTTCAGCCGGTCGCGTCGATTGACTGTCACGAATTATGCTTTCAGGGAGCCGTTTTTGAAACAATTATAAAATTATATTACGTTCGATAAACATAATTATCGCATGATATCGATCGCGGAGATCCTTTAAAAATGGTATAAAATTTAAGAGTGAAAATCATTCGATGTTATGTCTATTGAGAGGTAAGGCCTAGTGGTAAAATTTAATCAAATAATTTCAATGTTTTAACATAAATAGGGTTCGGGAACTTAATGTATTTATAAAATTTGTTTACACCCCTTCCGAGATAACTAACTCTATGAAAATTAATCATAGGCAATTTTTATTTTAGATAAATTCAGATTGTGTTGGTTAATACTCAGAAAATCGCACCTTAAGTTTATAAACAATAAGCTATTTACGCATAATTTTTTTTTTCGAAAAATAAAATACTTCAGAATTATTTGTTTAATCCAATAAAACTATAATAGAAATGTTAATAATTTTATTATTACATATTGTTGCTTGATTATAAAATATTTTTCCTTATTGGCTTTAGCAAATAAATAGTACACAAAATATGATTAAAACAAATTGAAAATTTACATATTCCATTTATTAACGGAGAAAAGAAAAAAATTAATATAAATTAATATTATTACAAGAGACACAATTTGATATATATATATTATAAATATATTTGATTTGAAATATAGTTTTAAAGTTAAAATATAAGTAAAACTGTTTTCCATTTAACGTCGAAATTGTTGATTTTTTTTATGAGGATTATTTGTCTTATTGCTATTCAACAATAATTTAATTCATGTAAATTACAACTTATATTTAGTCTTAAATAAAATGTAAAAAGAATATTTTGAACTCTTATTAAACATAATAAACATTTCTGCTAAAAATAGAACAAAAAAACAAAATTATAATGTAGTAAAAGTGGTGCTTGTATAATTTGTACCAACAATTGTTTAAGCCGACATAATAAACAACATACATTTTATAAATGCAATTTATTTACAATTTTAATGAACAATAAATAACAAATAGAAAAATAACTCAACCAGACGGTCAATTAATAGCAATAATTTTAATATATTTGAGTGACGAATTCAAACAACCGTTTTCAGCAGATGGCACATATATTTTAAAAACGGCGATAAATTCAAATAAAATATAAGTTGTTAAGCAAACTGGCAACGTATAATATTCATAAGTGTTAAGATTTCAATGCTATCATTTTTAATTATATAATTAAATGGAAGCAACGTTGCCAATTTGCTTACGAACTTATTTCTAAATCGCGGGCACGAAAGAATGCATGTGGTACTATTGGGTAAGAATTTCTTCTATCTCACCATTTGGTAGCCGAGTTGTGTTTTTTCGTACAGTATTTATAACAATTTATAACACTTAAAATTTATTCACTGATTATATTCAATTAAATATTTGAATTTGTCGCTCATATTACCTGAATCGATTGATTTTAGTATTCATTTTTTTAAATATTTGTCCATCGAATTAAAAATAATCAAAAAATCTGTCATTTAGTTTTTTATTAATTGTTCTAGTATATTATTTATTGGATGTGATTGTTTTTATCATTACCCGTCTAGGAATAAAAATGCTAATAATTTCCAAGGTCCAAAAGTTATTATTAACCAATAAATTTTTTAATAAGCTATTTTTTTATTAATGAGTCATTTCAAAACGTATGTTACTATATAAAAAAATTAAGTTTATAAGGGATAAGAGATGGATCTAAAAAACATTTAACTACTCATAAATTGAGAGAAAAATATATTTTTAAGATTATTATTATTTTAGAAGAAATTTAATGGTCAATGTTAAAAATTTTTTTAGTAATATTTCACGCAATTTTTATTTAAGTTATATACATTTATTAAATCCACAATTAACTTGTAATATTACATAACTATGTAAAAAATTATATTTTATTTTTTATTAAATCTCAAATGTTAACTTCAATTCTCAAAGTGTGAAATAAAATTTGTTTTTAAAATATTCATCTTCTACTTAAAAATTTTAAAGAAACATACTTAGTTAACCTGATTTACACGTTAATTTTATGAAATAATCTTTATAAGTACTTAAATTGGTTCATTAGCATAATTTATTTGAAAAATAATATTGCGGTTGTTTAATTAAAATATATAAGTTATAATCTTCCTAGAATGTTCTAGAGCACGTTTTCTACCGTAGAGTAATTACTACTACAAAATACTCAGAGTTTTAGATTCGTGACTTCGTTAAGTAGGCTTTAAATCATGTAATCAGACGCGCATATTAAAGTACTCAGTAAATACCTTTATGACTTTGCGTATAGTAATTTGTGATTTGGTTCATTTGATAGTTAAAATATTTTAGCTTAAATTGGTAATTGGTAAAATCACCGA